CTATCTTGATGTTGCCAATAAGGATTTATTTGGGATGTACAGGAATATCAACATCATGAGAGTAGGCAGACTGTTAACTGACCCCTGTGCCCTCATATTATACAGTTGTGTTTGTCGGAATAACTTTATTTTATGATCTATTTTCCCTCATATTAAACAGTTGTGTTTTGTTGGAAAAGCTCTATTTTATGACCTGTGTGCCGTCATATTAAACAGTTGTGTTTTGGTGGAAGAGCTTTTATTTTATGGAGTATTAAATGTGATGTTAAGTCAACATTGTGTTTGATCCCATAGTGGCCAATAATATGGAAACAGGACATTTTTGAGCAAAGGCAACAGGAAAGACACATGTTTACAACTGTTACACATACTCTGAAAAGTGGCATGTTGCTAATTAGCAATGGACACTTTATAATAAATTCACACCACAGGTAGGGGCTCCCCTAGGAGACAATCCATTATTTAGCACATTAGGTACTTATAAGCCTATTAGCGCCTGTCTGGTAATTAATTGTGTCCAGCCCTCTGTGATGTTATCTGGACAGTCTTTCTTAAGACATTCTATGAGACAATTTCTAATCAACTGAGACAACAAGCAATTAATCCTGAAAAAAAAAATTGCAAAGACGCAAAATGGACAAATGAAAGGAGCAGAATTTATTAGTTTGTCTTCTTACTTCTAAACATTCAACTAAAACACTTGATTGTCTTCAAAGTAAAATAAAAACTTCTCAACTCAAACTGGATTGTTTGCAAAGATTCTGTAGCTCCAAAAAACATAAAACAATTGGCTATGGGTAATGTACATGTAAAGTGTGTGCAGTTTAACACTTAGGTTCCTGTTTTGGCAAGAATGGCTGTAAAAATGGCTGATGCAAATGGCAGTTTTACATCTACATGTATTATGGCAAGATAAACCTTACAGTCCAGTCTTACACAGCTTGTACTTTAGAAAACTGGCTTACACTTAAATAAGGCGGTTTACTAGTAATGTGAAATAAACAAACAAACAAACATTACTTTCTGGACCTGCAAAGTTACAGGTGATGAACAACCAAAGCATGGACCTGCAGCAGGCTTATGGAGTTGAGAATTAAATCAAACACTTTGAAAAAGGATTTGAAAAAAGAGTTTCAAAGATTTTGAAAATTTAAAAGTGTTAAAAGCATTTAATGGCAAGTTTCTTTTTCCTGAGCTTTTTTCCACAAAAACAATGCAAAATGCTACTTTAACATCTCTAACTTCACAAGCAAATTCTTCCTCAATAAAGGCAGCATGAAAGAAGATAGAAAAAGATAGACAGGACAGCAAACAAGCACACCACACACAAATACAAGGTACACTGTACACATCCAGCAGTTACCTTTATCCACAACAAGTGACAGTCTAGAATCAGTCCTTCTTGATTCAGGAGTATCACAGATTTAAGTCACAATCTCCAAGAAAGTTTTAAAACCTGATTCAAGTCAAGACATGATTTAAGACAAGATTTAAAGATATCAAGTTATGATCATTGGTTATTATGAGAGAAAAGCAACTGCTGGTTATGTAGTGTATGCATAATAAGGAGTTGTAAACTAGTAAATATTACCTTTAAGTACATCATTATTCTGACAACCATGCATTGTGATGTTTCAGTTACAAGTTTTGGGCAAGGTTTGGCTATGAACAGGTCCCAACAACAAATGTCTAGTATGTTTGGCACATACATGCATGCTTTAAACGTTACCGTTAACTTTCCACAAAGTTTACTTCCTCTTTTGCTGTGTGGGACCAAGTGGCA